CAATCTTGTTAAGTTTGATTAGGGGGTTAGTTTAATTAACATAGTTATGGTCTCTTAAACCAGTCCTTGCTGATTAATTCGGTTTTATTCTTTTGCTGGAGCTTATAATTTCTGGTGTATATACTATAATTCGATGTGTAACCTCCTTTGCAATATGTAATTTGCTTTCTATTTTCCTTTAAAAAAATTACTACTAGATGAAATGATATACTTTTCCAGATTAGGTTATCAATTGGTTATCAAAACTTATGATGGCTACAAGGAATACAAAGTTAATTTTTTCGAAGAAAACAAAATGAAAGAGAAAAATGCTAACAGGTGCACACAATCTGATTCATTCATCATTCATATTCAAACACAATTCGATCCTTCATACTTATGTTAGTTTTAGAATATAACATTTCAATTTAAAATTTAAAAGTATACGTAGAAAAAATTGATTGTCTAATATTTAGCTTTGCCTAAAGATTGGCCTACTGTTGTCAAATAATTGAATCCAAAGTCTTATGGCCAATGTATAAATGCATTTCTAATGAGTTGACTTGCAAAACATCAAATCTACGTTATAATTAATTAATTGCCCATATGCAATAAAAAAAATATTCGTGGCCATCTTCTATATCTCAAGTCTCAATTGTTAAAAAGTAATATTAAAAGAGGTCAAAGAAGTTTTGTGATGCCATCACAAATTTCAACTTCACACCCTACGGTAATGAGAAAGACAAACGAACAGATTGATTTAGAAACCAATATTTCTCTATTGGGAATTCTTAAAAATTGATTAAAATTTGAATATCCATTAATGTGCAAGCAGGCAGAGCACAAAATAAAAAGAAGACTTGAAATACTTTTCAAGACTTTGAACATTTTCTAATACATTTTTCAGAAATAAATGTCATAAAGATGTGAAAACAAAGCTTTGCACCAAGAAAGAAAATTCCTTTTTTTTCTTTTTGCTTTTCTTTTTACGCGGTCCATACCAAACTCCTGTCATGAGACTGTATATCAACTTTCATATTCAACAATTGGCTCAGGCGATTGTCCGGGACTTAATCTCGTAAGCACTTCAGGTAATCCAGCTGTATCTCTCGTAATCTGCAGCATTATGCATTGAGAATGTTATAAAAGTGATACATTGGAGATAAATCAAGAACTCTAATGATGACCTAAGATTACCAGAATTTTCAATGCGCCAAGTTTTTTCTTATAGTCGAGAACTAAATATTTTAATAAATTTGTCAAAAATATGGTTCGTATTTGCTTTGTTTCTTCCATCTACAGACTAAATTCAAAATTTAGCATTATTCGACTGAAATCACGTTATTTTGCCCCACACAGTGCCCAATAAGTGATTATGTAGAACTTACCAATATGTCTTCGTCAAGATAGGAAATCATGAACAACCTTTCAAATGTCCCAGCTGAGAGGCCATGGAAAATATTATAAATAGCAAAAACAAATAGGCGATTGTAAACATAAAATAAAAGTAAAATGCTCAAGAAAAGTGTTGAACATGGGTGGTGATATGCTCATCATATATATATACATATATATAGAAGCATTCGAATCAACATAATTGAGGATGGTTAAGCTTGGTAAGATAAGTATCATGAGCTAAACTATAATGGAAGGTGCAATCTTTTGTTCGATGAAGCAGACCATAATAGTATAGGTAGCTTCAAAATGCTTACGGAGGGGGACTTTTAATCCACTGGCCACAGCATCTGTAATTGGAACAGGAAGTTGTTGTATACTGCTTGCTGCCCGACCAAAAGCACTTTTTAGTTGCTCGGGTATTGATTCTTGGTTGAGTTTTGGGGTGCCAAATGTCCCTTGTGTATATTCTTCTTTCATCCGAAGAGGGCCCTCGATGGATAGCTTTGTCGAGAGAGTGAAGATGCTTTCCACCTGCATATCAGTCGATTAAATATAAGTCGATGCACTAACATTTTTTTTTCTTTTTAATTTCAGGTTAATAGGGATCTGCTATTGATCAAGAATAGAGGGAGCTCTATTATCAAATTATGCATATAAGAAAATTTAGATTTGAAGTCCTTGAAAATTGTCTCGTCTGCTGCATTTTCTGAGCAAAAGTTATAGTATTAACCATATAAAACTCGATGATTCAAATATCCAGGCCAGTTTTAGTTGAGCCAAGATATGAATATGGTGAGATACAAAGAGTAAAGGCACATAAATTCTGTTACCGAATTTAAAAATTCTATGGCTGCAGAAATATTCGCATATCCATCCTTGATCACCACATCCAGTTTCGAAAAATTTGCCAGTGTTGGAGGAAAACTCCTGCAGAACATATTTTTTCATTTTCATAATAATTTGAAAGCTTTAACAGAAATATAAACACATTAATTCATTATGTGCCTTCATGCCATTGCGATAGCTGCTGAAAATGCAATCGACACTATATGTACACAAAGATAGCGAGGGAGAGAGAAAGAGAGTTACCCGAATAAAAGTCGAACAGCATAGAACCCTGGAGTTCCTGATCCAAACCACTCGAAATTCCACTGACCTTCCAAATAAGGAGACCTGAATAGCTGAAAAACACAAAATGAAAAACTTTGTCCGATGAATCTTGATACATTTAAACACACACACACACGAAAACTATACGTTGTTGGTCTTGGAGTCGGGTTCAGCCTCTCGAGATTAACTATTCTTTCATTAACATCAATACGTTGCACACTTGTAAGTTTTCCGGTGACTACTGCTTCAAATCCCCCAGCATCTTTGAACTGAAAAAAAAAATACAAAGTAATTGGGATGTAAAAGTACCTTTATAATATTGCATTCCCATATTTGAGTTTTTGCACCCACATAACATTAATAAGGTATCACAAACAACACTTGCAAAAAAACAGAATCAAAGTGACATTAAGCCAAACAACATAACAATCTTTGAGACAAACATTATATTTGCATTGGCCAAAAAATATGCAAAAGATCAAATCTTTGAAGCAATTTAGAGAGCCCACATGAAGCTAAACCAAATTACAGATAAACGTAAGAGTCCAAATTCAACCCATTACTTATTCTCCTTCATAATCTACAAGAATCAGTAAATAACACTATCAAAAACCAAAATACAGTAACATTTAAAAAATAAATGAAAAAAAAGCACCGCAAGAAGCAAAGATTCCTTGGCGGAGATCCTCTCCATGTCTTTGGCATAAGCAGCTGAGGGCCCTTGCACGGTTTGCACCTCAATGGCTCTGCAATTTATGCTTATTTTCTTTTTCCCACTTGGAAATTTGATGTGTTTAGGGGCTGAAGGTAAATATCGAGTCGAATCCACTGCGAATAGGCTTTGAACTGAGATTGAGCAGGCCATTGATTTTCTTTTTTCAAGCAATTTCAGAAATTGAACGAGAACGAGTTACAAGTTGTCTTTCCTTCCCCGCCCCTTTCTTTTCCTTATATTTATTTTCTTCATGTGCAAATGAACATCTCCACAATGGTCCACCATCTGGTCTAAAAGAGCATTTACAATGCATTGGGTCTAGTCTTGCTGACATGTAAATAAACTCAAATCTTGAATGACATGAATAAAACTATGTAAAATTGATAAAATACACTCCAATGCAAAGAGACTAGATTTCTACTTGGGTCTAAAATAGACCTAAGAGCATCCACAATGTTTTGGGTTCAATCCCAAAAAATTACATGCCACATAAGAAATAGACTCAGTCTAAAAAAATATATTCTCCAATGCAAATAAAAATAGACTATGTCCTGCTGATGTGGCAGCCAGAAAAAGAGACCTGGTCTCCCCTTAAGTCTACTAGTATTCGACCTGTGCATTTGCACAGATATAAATAAATTATTGTGAGTCTGTATACATATAATAATTAATTATTTTTCTTTCACTTTTTTGCAGACCAAATTTACAATTAAAAGAGTTGGAATATTTTTTTTTTTAAATTGTGTTTATCTGATTGGATGTAATGTATATTTTGGTACGTCTTTTATTTGTGAATTATTTATTATTTATTTAAGAATTTCAAATATATTTTTTATTTAAAAATAAAAATAAAAAATAAATGTAACAACAATAATAACATCTAATCACATTATACTGTCAACACATTATATGGTCAACTATCATTAATAAAAAATTTAAAATAATTTTTGTAATTTTGAATTGATGAGTATTAATTATTTAATGATTGAATGAAAGATTAAATACATCAAAATGTAACGGTTTTTGGAGGGAAAATTATTAAATTGCCACATAGGTAAAATTAAATAGGTTTTATTAAATGTTTTGAGCTAGTAATTATATATATA